CCTAATAATTTAACGATGGGCAGCTGATCCATTGCTCGGCTCATGAGAGGAAGCAGGTGGGGGAGCAGCCACCCAGAGCCTGGAAAACCTCTGTCTATGAAATTGAAGTTGGGAGCCCCGGCCAAGTTCTGTTCAGGAGAAGAGAAGGAGTCTTGAGCAAAGTATCTGAGCTCTTGATTTCCATGGCAAGGGAATCCTTTGTAAAATTCTGTACCTACCCCTTCTTCAGATTTCACGCTCTGTAGACAGCCCGACTCCCTGGGCACTCTGGCCAGTCTACAGGGAGCAAAGGCCCTCGTGTGGTGAGGTGAAGGCCCTTCTGTTCACTGTTGCATTCATTGTTAAATAGAATAAATGTGAATTCAGGTTATATAACACCCTCTTCCTGAGCTTCAGCGAATGAAAGTCCACCCCGTGAAATCGAGTTCCAGGCAGAGAGACGTGCTGGGCCCATACTACATGGAGAGTGGACCAGAATGTGTGCAGCCTGTGACGGGCTGGCTCTGTGACCACGGCTCCGTGAAGGGCTTGTCTAAGCCAGCTCCTCCTCTGAAGGTCACCGCCACGTAACTCGCATAACATGGAGTGAAGGAAGAGGAGGGGCCAGGTGGCGGCCTTGGCTGAACCCCACTTTTGCGGGCTCATGAAGCCCTGACAGATGACACATGGGCATCGTAGTTTGTGGGGCAGCAAACCTTCTCTGTGACAGAGCAGATCATAAATATAGTATAATTTGTGGGACACGTATAGTCTCTGCTACACATTTTTTCAACATCTTACTGTTCAGTCAGGAGTCCTGATCTGGTTGCTCATTAGCGGGACAGCTTTCAGACAAGCTACTTGAACCTATTTATTCATTAACAAAGAAGCTGCCGTATTCCTCTTCGGGCTTATGACTGCCACATTTGCAGGCTGAGAAGCCTGCTGGTCACACTAGAAGGAGCAATTGGATGTCTTATGCTGTCAGGGTGGGTGGGGCGAGCTAAAATGACATGTGGTCATCTGCAAGAGTCTGGACCAAAAACGAGGCTTCCTCGAGGGAGCTAAGGAGAAGATGCTCTTGGTTAGGAGTGAGCTTAGCTGGAGTCACTGATGGAAGTAACCATCTCAAGGGATCTCAGAGACATCTCCTAAGGACCTCCAAGCCCTTGCTTTCATTAGGGCCCTGCAGCTCTCTCCCATTCATTCTAATAAAGAGAACCACCTGCAGTTTGGATAATAACCCAAAGTACACCCTAGCAAGTGGGCACCCCTGAAAACTGGATCCTCCAGGACCCAGATACAACCCACTACATCATTTTCTCGAGGTAGGAACAACACTTTCTGAAAGGACCCAATTTAACCAACTTCATTGTTTATATTTTAGGTAAATACAGTAGCCAGACTAGCTAAATAATTTTTATGCTTCATTCTTTAGAATTTTACTTAAGCATAAAACATGCAGATGAACAGATTCATGTCATTGACCAGAAGGTGAACAGGATCACAGTATGGTGGGGGAGTTGGGGACAGAAGTATAAATAGAGCCTTGAGCTTGGGTTTAAGCTCCTGGTGTCGCTCACATGCTGCAGAAGACAGGAATGGGAGCAGGGAGTGGGCAGAGTGTTGTGCACACGGAGAAACCTCTTATCCTCTCTCATCCACCCTTGAAATACAGCGACCTACCGTTCATGTCATTTTGCTTCAGGTCTCCTTGAAACCTCTTAAGTCAAAGCAAGATTTTTATAACTCAAGCTGGAGAATGGCTCTGCTTATTTATAAATGGTCAATAGTCAACAAACCCTAACTTGATGATTCACATCAAGAGGCTGTGGCTAGGATCAACCTCGTTCACTGGCCACCCAATACATCACAAGGTAGAACCATGTTGAGGCCTTTTGTAAACTAGAAGAGTGTGTCTCAGACTCATTATTTTTATTTCAAAATGATCAAAACCAAGTAAATTCCTTTAGAATTTGAATTTATGACAAGTAAGTTACTTATGTATGACGACAAAATCATTTTCCACCAAATAAGGGTGGGTTGAAAACATCCCCCCTCATGAATAAGGTATAAATGTAGGGTTTTAAGTAGGTCAGTAGCATTAGGAAAACATTAAAGGGCACCTGGAAGAGACTAAGACTTACTCTGCCATCAGTGTTACAAAAGTACTGCAGCTGTATACAGTGTAACTATTAAATACCTTATCCAGATCAATATGAAACCTTGGGTTATCAGCTAGAATTGTAAATGTCTTAGAGTTTGGATGGACACTAGATAATTGTCCTGATGTGGAAACTGAATCTCTGCTCTGGACTCAAGCTCTGTGGGCTGGACTGGACCAGAAACCTTATGCATGCTGCTAGCACAGCACACAGATGGACAACATAAACAATTCCTATTTGAATGCTCTAGCCTGTCTCTACTGCAAATACTGTGTTCCTTATCTTTCAATTCTTAATATCCAGTACAACATCTGGTACTTTGTGTCTGTTTGTTACACCAATCAAAAGAAGCAGGAGTATAAATGCCAGGGCAAGAGGATAATACTTGCAGAGGGGGGAAAAATCCTTTTCTGATTTCCCATGAAGAGCAGGGAAAAATTACTCTCCAAAAATTCAAAAGTGAGCTTTATCTCCATAATTCTTTTTTAAGGTGATCATCCCAAATCACAGGTAAACATTTGCTAGACTGTCCACAGTGAGCACTTCTGTCGCTACTGTTAACAACATGATGTGGCTTTTTTTGGTACTGGGTTTCGAACTCAGGTCCTTTCTCTTGTGGAGCAGGCAGTGGAACCACTGAGCTAAATCCCCAGCCCTTGATGTGCTTATTTTGTCTGTTCAGAGTATTTGGATGAGTTCACTCCTCATTAAGTTCCCTGCTTTAATTACAGAAGAAATAAAAATTAGGCAAGTGACTTTCATTTAAGTATTTCAGAAATGTTTTACTTTTGAAGTCTGAATTATTAAGGGTAGATTAAAAGCAGCATCTTGTTTGAAGTTAAAAGTATGAATGATTGGGCCAGGGATTTAGCTCAGTGGTTTTGCTGCCCGCTGCGCAAGCGCAAGGACTCAAGTTTGATCCCTGGACCAAAAAAAAAAAAAAAAAAGTATGAATGATCTCATCACGGAAAAAGATAAAATGTAATTCTATCTACCTTATGATTATAATAGTTCATTGGATTCAGTAGCTATTAGGAAACAATCATATCTTTTCAGTATCTAAATTATTTGATTCTTTTCCCTGAAAAGGCAGAAAATACTGTGAACCCTTAATTTCAAGAGCACAAAGAATTGTGCTATTTATAAACCAGCCACAGAACAAAGGGAAGCAATAAAAGATTAAATGTTACATTCTCTTAAGGAATATTTTCTTTCAGTATTACATAAATATCTTTGTGATTTTTTCATATTCTTTTTGAAATCAAGTAACCCTATGATATTTTGAAGTGAAATTACACACAGAATTTTTGCATAGAGTTGAGGATGACTTTTTTTAAATAACAAGTATAATTAGCCACACACGGCATATTATTCATTGTCCTCTGACTTTTATTATTTAATTTCATATTCTGAAGATGTTTGGCTCTAAATTTAGTTAGGAAAATCAGGGAAGGTTATGGGGGGTTTTTTGCTTGCTGTACATTACTGTGGATTATATCTGGAATGGTTTGCTTTCTCACAAGAAAGAGCCTAGTAATTTGGATTTACTGGAGACCACCATCCAAGGCCCAGAAAAAAATTTAAGTTACTGTAAAGTATGGTGCCTTGTGGGGTCTAGGAGAGGTGCGTGCCCACTGGGACAGGGAACCAAAGCCAGTGGCTGCTGAAGACTCTGAAAAGTTCCTCATCCCTGGCTGTCCCTTCTCCCCTGCTCCCTCTAGACACTGTGATGTGGCTGATCTAGAGAAAGGCTTCACAAGAAAAACAGTTGTTTTTTTTTTTGCTGGCTGTGTAATCCCAGTACTAGGGAGGCTGAGGCTGGAGAATTGCCTAAGAGTTTGAGACCAACCTGGGCTACACAGTGAGTTCAAGGCCAGCCTGAACTACAGAGCGAGACCCTGTCTCAAAACCCTGGTGGTTTTTAAGTTGTACAATCCCTTCTTCTAAAATTAAAGCAGACCCCTTCATTACACAGAGGGCAGAAGGGACTTGCTGTGGCTGGCATGGTACACGAGGACAGGTCAGAGGCACCTCAGTGAAACCCACAGGATGTGGGGTGGAATTTTGTAATCTCTGCTCGAGTGTGCCAGTTTCTAGAAGTTAGGTTATCGTCCCTGCTCCAGTGTGATGCCCACTGCCTACATCAGAGCCACTTAGAGCAGGTTGTGCCCTATGCAAAGTGTGGTGCCAGATGGGGCCACCCGGACTGGATCCAGCCCCAGCCCCAGCCCCCTTTCTCAGCCCAGGTCCCTGGACTGGGGCTGTTCTGCAAAGAGGAAAGGGCACTGTTCAGGTTTCGCTTGCCCAAGGGATGCATTTTCTTAGATGGCACAGAGTCTTAGGAGCTGGCCAGCGCCAGGCTTGGGGCTGAGGGTGCTCCTGATAGGGGCCTGCCCTGAGTCCTGGGTTTGTAGTGCTCCCGGCAGGGGGAGGGTCTCCAGGATCAGCCCCAGGAGCATCGTCAGCAGCTAGTCAGATCCTCTGTGGACTTCAGTGTGCGCGTGTGTGTGTGCACATGCACGCTCACAGGAGGGCCCCACTGGGCAGTGTCAGTGCCAGCAGCCTTTCCTGCTTTGGTTTGCAGACCTCAGGTGTAGACTGGGCTCATGCCTTGCGTGCTTCTCTCTCTTCCTCCCTCTTTCTTTCCTCCAAAGAGAATACTCCTATACTTCTCTATCTCCAAGGTTTAGGGGGCTAGGCTCATTTTCCTTTTTAAGTGAATTGGCACTGAAAAGGGGTAGTCTAAGAGCTAGCCTGGGTGGTGCACACCTGTAATTCCAGTACTGGGGAGGCTGAGGCAGGAAGATTGCAAGCTTGAGGCCAGCTTGGGCAGCTTAACAAGACCTTATTTCAAATGGGGGTGTAGCTCAGTGGTAGAGAGTTTGTTTAGCAAGCAAGAGGTCCTGGGTTCAATTCCCAGTACCACAAAGGAAAAAAAAGTATAGTTACAGAAGTATGACCATTCAGAAAAGTTCCAAGGGTTTTTTAGTTTTAATTTGGGGGAGAAAGGCAAAGACTAGGGCCTTGTCCTGAGCACCTCAACCCGTCAATGCCTTCAATTTTCCCCCGGCCTAGGCCTGCTCAGGAAGCTGGCTGCCCCTCTACAGCAGGCCTGGCCATGGACCCAAAGGGGCCAAGTACCCTATGTCCTTGCTTTCAAAAGGGAGAAGTTGGGCTGGGGATTTAGCTCAGTGGCTCCTGGGCCTGCCTCGCAAGCGCAAGGTCCCGAGTTCGATCCCCGGTACCAAAAAATTTTAAAAAGTGAGAAGTCAAGCCAAAAAGAATTAAATAAAATATTCTCTATTCTTCAATCTTGACCAATCAATGACGTCCAAAAACATCTGTAAAACTATGGCTCTTAAATGATGAAAAGTAGAAAAATATCAAAGGTGACTGAATTTGATTATCACTCACATGTTTGGAAGAGCTAGTGACATTTTGTATGAATGATAAAACACGTACTCAATCCATAACTTATTCTACAACATTTATTTTATTTTCTTCATGTCAACAAAATTACTAATCATGTTTTTATAATAAAGGTTTTGTGTAACTTGTGTTCAGTTGACAGTACTAACACTTTAAAAATGGTAATTGTATTAAAATGGTAAAATTTAAGTATAATCAAAATATCAACTAAAGTGAATGTAAGTTTTGAGAGTATCATTACTTTGTATACTTTTTAAAAGTTATTGTTCTAAAATATATTATCTATTCAAATTAGGAGGCAAAGTAAAAAGTAAAACACTGATTACATCTTAAATAAAACTAAAGCTGAACTTTTAAATTTAACTTTTAAAACATTGATTAAACTGGGGCTGGAGATGTAGCTCAGTGGTACAGCACCTGCCTGAGTTTGATCCCCAGTACCAACCCCCTCCACAAACAAACAAACATTGATTAAACCTTTAAAGATAGATTTCTAGAAATTAAATGATTGCAGTCCACAGGTTTTATATGCACCTAGTGGTAAATATAAAGAATCAATATTGTTTCATAAAATGACATCTACATCTGTATATTGGCATTTTAAAATTGTCTCTCTTTTTTCTGTTTTTGATACTGGTGGCTGAAGATAGGGCCTCACATTGACACTTTAAAAGTACAGTCCTTTCTTCTCTGGGGCGATATATGCTCCATCCCCTCAGTGGTGGCCTAAAGCCTCGGATAGTACTAAACCCTAAATATAGTTTGACTTTTCCTATTCCTTCCCCCCCAATGATAAAGTATAATTTTAATTTTAATTGTTTATTTTTTTGTTACTAGGAACCAAACTCAGGACCTTGCACTTTCGAGGCAGCCACGGCGCCACTGAGCTAAATCCTCAGCCCTAAAGTTTAATTTTTAAAGTAGGCACAGTAAGAGATTAACAATAACTAATAATAAAATAGGACAATTATAGTAATATACTGTAATAAAAGTTATTAAAATATATGAATCATATTTCTGGAATTTTCCATGTGATGTTTTCAGACTCTCCGTTGATCACGGGCACCGAAACCGTGGAAAGTAAAGCCAAGGTGAGGGTACTGTCATCACCATTGTGACTACTGCAGAATTTCACCAGTCACCCTGGAGAACACCATCAAACCCTGCGCACCCACAGGACTGTGAGCTGGATGCACAGCGAAGCCAGGGAGGGAGTAAGCAGCACCTCTGGCTAATGACACTGTGTCATGCAAAGATCTTTTGAGTTCCTACTCGCAGAGAGGATTTGACAACTGAATTAATTTGTCTCTTCTTACTTACAAGAGCTTCCACCACTCAAATCTTTCCAAAGCTGTTTTTATTTCTAATGTCAGCAGCAGCACAACCCACAATCCTCACAGTTTGAGATTTGGGGCAAGGAAGGCATACAAGGACTTCCGGGAACCCTGCATCCTGTTATCTTAAGGGGAGTTATTCAGAGTAGTGAGCTGCGTGGGACAGCGTGGGGTGCTGGTCTCAAGGTTGGAGGCACCCACATGTGCTTTAATCAATGTACTGCATGCCTGTATGTGTGAAACATGGCGTACAAGTCAGGGGTCTCTTATCTGTGTCTCAGGGTGGTTCTGTCTGAAAGTTAAGGAGAAATTACCCTAGTAAAACTCTGGGGTCAGAATTCAGAAGCAGATACTAGCACAGTACAGATCTCACCTTAGTTGGCAAATCACAAAGAAATAATCACGCCAAAATTTTACTTCTCATTTTGCTGTAAGAGCAGTTCTTTCTTTTCCTCTTCATTTCTGTCTTGGTGTCTATCTCTCTCCCTTCTCCTCCACATGTGTTGATGATACTGTGATTCTTTTTTTTTTTTTTTGGTTTTTGAGACAGGGCCTCACTATGTAGATCAGGCTGGCCTTGAACTCACGGAGATCCTCCTGCCTTAGCCTCCGGAGTGCTGGGATTACAGATGTGCACCACCATGCCCTGATGCCATGATTCTTAATTGGCTTGGAATCCTTCAGTTAATTTGTGTTCTGACCCTGGTGCCAGAACAGTTTTTGTTATTGTTGTTTGGCAATGATTTAGTGAAATATAACTCATATACCATACACTTTACCCATTTTAAGCGTACACATCAATTAAAAAAATGATCACAACTTTAGAATGTTGTCATCATTCCCAAGGGAAACTCTGTTTCCCTTCAAACTCTTCCCTGCTTCAACCCCACCCAGGTAACAACTACTTTCTGTCTCCATAGACTTGTCTATTCTGGACATTTCATATAATTGGCATCAGACAATATGTGATTTTTGTGATTGGCTTCTTGTACCTATAATGTTTTCAGGTCTGCTCCATGTTATAGCTTTTATCAGTTCTTCATTCTTTTCTGTTGCTGAATGCTGTCTCATTGTGTGGATATACAACATTTTGATTATCCATTGAATAGTTGATGGACATTTGAACTGTTTCCACCTTTTGGCTATTGTGAATAATGTTGCTATAAACATTTGTGTGCATATTTTTATGTGAACATATTGTGGACATAAATTTTTCTTGGTATATACCTAGGAGTGAAATTAGTCACGTGTGTGTGGGGGGGGGTGCTGGGGATCAAACCCAGGACCTTGTGTATGCTAGAGATGTGCTTTATCACTGAAGCACATCCCCAGCCCTATTTTTACCCTTCTGTGGAATTACCTGATGGGTTTTCAAGGGAACTATACCTTTTTATATTCCCACCAACAGCCCATGAAGGTTCTGATTTCTCCACATCCTCCCCAACACTCGTTATTATCTGTCCTTCTTATTTTAGCCATCCTAATGATGGAAAGTGGTATTTCAGTGTGGTTTTGATTGGCATTTCCTTAATGGCTAATGATGATAGCTCCTTTCCAATCGGCTATTCCTGAAGAGAAAGGAAGAACAAAAATGTTTGCCGATAGCTCTGTTCACTGCTATGCTCAGATGTTTGTGTAGAGACCAATGCATGGAGCATAAGCACGAAAGAGGGCCTTAGAGGAGGCTGGAGCCTCTACAGCACAGCTCCCCTGCAGTTACACCTGTTCCCTACTCTGCCTGAAATCCTTTTCTGAAACTTCTGGTCACTGGGTTGAACTCTGCTCTCTGAAACAAGGCAAAGCTCTCCTTTCAGGCCATCCTCTCTCCTCTTTTTCAAAGCCACTTGTGTATTTTTATCAATTAGTTAATGTTGAGGAATTGAGGTTGAACACAGGGCCTCGCTCCTACTAGGCAAGCACTCGACCACTGGTTACATCTTTAACCCTTTTTATTTTGAGACAAGGTCTTGCAAAATTGCCCAGGCTGGCCTCCAACTGTGATCCTCTTGTCTCAGCCCCGGAATAGCTGGGGTTACAGACATGCACCGCTGTGTTGGGCCCCACCTATATATTTTTAAAGACAAGCTTTGGCCCCCTACTAAGCGGTTGCCTGTTTCTTTTTGCTTTTGAGTTAATGAGCCTGCCCGAGGCTGGCTTGCAGATGGGACACACTTATTATTGGCTGTGGTGACTCAGGAGACTCCCAGAAAGTCCATAGAATGGTAGGTGTCAGGGGGGAACAGACCAAAATCTAAGTGAGGGGTGTAGAAGTGACTTGAAGAAATGTTCTGGAATGGTCTTGCATTGTTTTCAGTCCCTGTAATTATTTTGAAATTTCAAATCTTTTAAAAAGAGCACATAATTTTTATATTTTTTTCCCAAGAGAACAAATGTTGAAAAGATGTCGGGAATGCAGTCTATGTAAATGGGGCCTCTGCCTTCCTGCTTACTGTATTTAAAAAAAAAAGACACATTTCCCTCAGCCTGGTACAGACTGGAAGCACCGTGTGCATGTGTGCCTGTCTGTGTGAGTGCCAGGCCATCCACCCTCATCTTCCATGAATCTAGTCTTCTCTTGCTCTGGTTCCTGTCCTGACCTATAAGGAAAGGATTTTTCTCTCCTGCTTTTACTCCAATTTTGCCCTCTCCTGCTGACTTCATCTCTATTCTCTCCTGTATCTACAGGAAGCTCTCTTTTATTGTGGACAAAATGCCTTCCACCTTATGTTATTTCTCTTCTTTCCTGCTTTTGAGCCTCCATTTCTCCTGATCCACACTGAGGATTTTCCCTTGATGACACCTATCCCGTCCTTCCTGTTCTGGAGCCACAGCTTGCTCCTCCCCAAAGTCTTTGCCCTGGGCGGTCCGTTCTGCTTGGAACAGCTGTCCTCCAGGGCCTTGCTGCCCTGGGTCCATTTCTCAGCTCTCAGCTCACAAGGAGCTTCCTCCAGAGATCTCCCCTGAAGGCCCTCAAACACAGCTCAGGGCTAGCTGGGACTTCTGTCTGTTTTTTTCAGCAGCTTCCACGGCAGTGCACTTGACAGGTACTTGATACACGCTTGCAGGATTGTTACAGTAAAGCAGCTCTGTAAAAAGGCCTGGGTTGCATAATCTCTGCCATTCTGTGTTGGGCAAGGAAGGAGCTAAGGAATGAACGAAGAAGGC